AAATTAGTGTTTAATCATAATCAATTTCTAAATGTTTCACTTTGCGAAGTTCATACTGTTCGAAGTTTGTATATTTTGCAGTTTCACAAATGTAAAGACTTTTGGAAAACTTGCTGAAAATCTGAAAAGCCAGCCACCGATGCCAAAAAAAAAGTTTTGTAGCGTTTTGTTTACTCTACGCAACAGTTATCAAAGCTCCAAAAGGTCAAAACAAGATTTTAAAAAATAGCTAAAGTTAGGTTACTTAGAATGCATGGGTCGGAAATTGTGGTGATTATGAAAAAACTTTGGAAAAGTCCGAACAAAAATATCACTGCTTGAAAGAGTAAGAAATTCGCACAAAACAGTGCTTAGAATGTTTGTCTATACTTATTCTGAATGATTTGAGAATCGGCGTAAAAAACGGCAGGAACTTTCGGACCCACCTAATAGAAAAACGGCTTACTTTTGGGACAACCTGGTCTTAGAATTCCCATCGCACTTCATATAAATCTCAAAATGTAGTGTGGGGATTCAATTAAATATCTATTCTAACATCCGATTTGATTATTATCCATACGTCAAGTTCACCCAAAGATTGCAATATTTCTATTGTCACACCCTTCTCTCACTCTGCATCTAGTAATAATATTTTCTGTCAGTTGTCTACCTTTTGCTTACCACCTCTTTGGGAATAATATGGAACTACATAAATAATTGTTTACTATTTCATACATAAATAATGTGATGTCTCACGTTGTCTGCTTCACTGTGATAACTATGTTTTCAGGTTTCTTGGTATGATCTTGTGCTGTTCGGGAGGGAAGGATGAGCACACGAAGACCATTGAACGCGATTTGCACAATGAAAGAAAAGTTCTTAGGAGACAAGTTAGTGCAGTTAGCAATATTCTGATAAAAAAAAGCGCTGATAGTGATTTCTACCTAGTCTCAAATAAACACATGTGAATTTGAAAGTTTGCCTGTCTGCATTTAGCCAATAAAGAAAACTTCGTTACTTTTTCTGAAATTTTTTTTTCGTTCTCCCAACATAACAACAGTCACAACTCTTGCAAAATACAGTACTTGGGCCTAAATCTTCCAATTTTCTTTATCACAGGTGAAAATCCTTTTGCTTGGATCTGGAGAATCAGGCAAATCGACATTTATCAAGCAAATGAACATCATTCATGGTGCAGGCGAATTTACTGCGGATGAAGTACGCGCCTATCGACAACAAATCTATCAGGTAGTGTAAAATTTCATTCTGCCTTTTTTGTAACAACAATGACGACAATATTTAACAAATTAGTAACACTTAGCACACTAAAACATTACAGTAACAAACAATCTGTTGATAAGAGTAGCCAACTGCTTTATTTTCAAACAATGATGTTAAGTCGGTACTCATAACGGGGACGTGGAGTATTAAAACCTTCAAAAAATATTTTTTAGGTACCAGGAACTTTCTCAAAAGCTTGAAATTGTTTATGTAAAAGCATTCGTTTGCGTGATTATTTCGAACACCGTAAAAATTCTCCCTTTTGCAAATAATCTCGGAATTAGGGTGCGATCGCTAAAAACTGGCACTATGGAACATGGCTTTGCAGTATTTCTTCAATTAAGTTTGGATGCTAATAGTCTATTTTACAAAACTCGGTAGCTATGGTTGTCTTAAAGAATTCCTAGAG